AGTTACACATTCATTAGAATTTACCAATTTAATAAAATTGCTAAGTATAGCTTATTTTTTAAAATGATTTCTATCACTAACATGGCGAATTCTAAATTTCTTGATTCCAAAAGAGGGGAAAGTATTTAACTATATTTTCTCCAACAACTTTAAAGATGTTACAACTAACTTATTTTAAATACTAAAAGAAAGTATCTCATTGTAATCAAGTATGCTGTACTATAGAAATCCATAATGAAATACCTAGGTTGTCTTTAGTAAGTCAACGTCACACTAAATCTCCATCAAATTTTTTCACAGGGGAGAAAAAGGAATATTTGCTAAAGTGCCCATTTCCAAGTGACTATACTAATGAGCAAAAATACATAACCCAACATTAACCATTCTAAATTTGATAGATTCAAAACAAATTTCAATTTATTCACTTTATGAAAAATTTTTTGCATTCCTTTAGCCAAGTAAACACAGCTACATAGTTTTAGAAATAATAAATAAGAACATGTCTCCCAATCTCTTTGCATGAAACAGGGATGACTGCAAAGAAAAATCTAAGAACAAATTCTTAGGAGATCAACTCAACCTCCATCAATGCTGCAATCTCATATAACAATTTTCTATGCTAATTATACCTTCATTTATAATACATCTAAAAGGCTAGCCAAATTGTTGTAAATGTAATCATTAAAAATCAGTCTAAAAAACAAATAGTAACTACAGTAGGAGGATCTCAGTTGACCAATGTAACCTTAAACCTTACCTCGAGGTTCATTTTACCTAGCTGACCATGACTGTTAGAATATCATCTTGCCTTTAATAAAAAACAAGAATGTTTTAACATGTTTATGCAGCACATATATATTAAATGTAATATTTATAATGGCCTTTTCTACATACTGCATTAAGGAAAATTTCCCAAAGATCTGTTTCTGACACTAGAATGGTTCCATCATATACAACAAACAGCTCAGAAGAGCAAATATTTTTTAAAATAACCATTCTTCCCACATTAAGACAACAGAAGTGAGGCTACAGAGATTGATGGTTAATGAAGCACAAAATTATTTTTATCCTCTGTTCATCTATGGCTTTGCTTATTAACAGGCATTCTTTTAGAAAGACTAAATTAGAAAGAATTGGAGTGGCAGGAACACAATGATATTAGTCTTAATTAGGTGAAGTGAGCAAAGCTCAAGCTGGTATGGTACAGCTTAAGCCATAGCCTGAGAGGAAACAAAAATCTGTTAACACACTGTCTGAAGCAATTAAATGAATTTCTCAAGGAAAGATAACAACAATGCTCTTCTTTTAAAGACCTTGCAATAAATCCTAAAGGATAATTCTCTATACTTACATAAATCAAACAGAGCTATAAGAGTTTTAAGAGTTTCTTTATAGACATGGGAATAAAAGCATGAACTAAGTTTTATAGTGAAGTTTCAGCAGTTCCTACTTAATTTTAATACTAAATTTGCAAGTGACATGCACTATTTATTTATATTCACAAATTATCTATATCAATTTATGTGCCTAAAACACATTTTTTAAAATAATCAAGATGGTTTTGATAACCAATTAGTTTTAACTGAATACATGTTTTTATTTAAACAAAGTGTCAGAACTTTTGGTCTTCATCTATATATTCTAGAAATATTAAATTTCACAAACAGGCTTTAGAAAAAATTCAATCATTTTATAATATTTAAGAAATTTTATAAAAATTTGTCATTAACAACATTCATATTTATAAGTGTATTTTTCCCCACACACCAAAAAGCCTTTAGGCAGTTAATGGTTTCACAATTTTTGGTCCTGCTTTGAACCATTCCAAATCTCAATATAAGTCACATGATTCAAGAGGTGCAAAGAGGTCAATTTTTTCTTTGTGACTACTCATCAGCAATATGGATGTCTCCTGATGACCAAACTGAATATTCTAGCTCAAATCACCTCAAGAACCAACAGCACTGCTGAAATTTTTACCAGGAAAATTCTGGTGAAAATCTAAGTTCAAGAATAAATAGACATATAGTTTGTACTTGAACTTTAGTAGTTTTAATGCTCCAAGATAAAAGTCACCACAAACTTATGCTCCTGTTATTCCCTTTCTTCCTCCCATGATGACTGATGGTTTCATCAAAAAGGCCATGTGACATGAAGACCAAATAACATAAGCTGATTTGAATTGCCTTAGAAATAAGGCAATCAAAGACTAGGTGACTACATGTCCCAGTTTGCCAATGACAGTCCTAATTTACACCTGTTATTCTAAGGTTACTAAGAGAATTCCATTTCTCTCTCAAAGTGGATTATAGACAAAACTCAGAATTGACAACACAATATTCCGGGAGAAAAACTAAAGTGGAAGTCTACCACCATCCGAATTCAACACTTACTATAAAACTGCAGCAATCAAGACAGTGCGGTATTAGAGAAAGAAAAGACAAATAGATCAATGAAACAGAATAAAGATCCCAGAAATGGACCTCGACTGATCTTTAACAAAGGAGTAAAGGCAATACAATGGAGCAAAGATAGCCTCTTCAACAAATGGTGCTGGGACAACTGGACATCACACACACACACAAATGAATCTAGACACAGACCTTATACCCTTCATAAAAATTAACTCAAAATAAATCATACACCCAACTGTAAAATGCAAAACTATAAAACTCCTGGAAGATAATATAGGAGAAAACCTAGATGACCATGAGTCTGGCAATGACTTTTTAGATACAACACCAAAGCCATGATCCACGAAAGAAATAATTGATAAGCTGGACTTCATAAATTAAAAACTACTTTGCAAAAGACAATGTCAGGAGAATGAGAAGACATAACACAAATTGGGAGAAAATGTCCACAAAAGACATATCTGATAGGGTACTGTTATCCAAAATACACAAAGAACTCTTAAAACTCAACAAGAAAACAACTCAATTAAAAAAATAGGCCAAACACCTTAACAGATGCTTCACTAAAGAAGATATACAGACAGAAAATAAGCGTATAAAAAGATGCTCCACATCATACATTATTAGGGAAATGCAAATTAAAACAATAGGATACCACGATGCACCTATCAGAATGGTCAAAATTCAGAACGCTGACAATACCAAAATACTGGTGAGACTGTGGAGCAACAGCAAGTCTCGTTCATTACTGATGGGACTGCAAAATGGTACAGCCACGTTAGAAGAAAGGTGGTGTTTTTTTTTTTAATGAAAGTAAACATACTCTTACCATAAAAATGCAGCAATCATGTTTCTTGGGATTTACCCAAAGGAGCTGAAAACTTATTTCCACATAAAAACCTGTACGCAAATGTTTATAGCAGCTTTATTCATAATTGTCAAAATTTAGCAGCAACCAAGATGTCCTTCAGTATGTGAATGGATAAATAAACTGTGGTACATCCAGACAATGGAATATTATTCATTGCTGAAAAGAAATGAGTTATCAAGCCATGAAGACATGAAGGAATCTTAGTTATATTACTAAAAGGAGACAATCCGAAAAAGCTATATACTGTCTACAGCCATGCCACCCTGAACAAGCCCGATCTCATCTGATCTCGGAAGCTAAGCAGGGTCGGGCCTGGTTAGTACTTGGATGGGAGACCACCTAGGAAGATTAGGTGCTGTAGGCATAAAAAATAAAAAAATAAGGGATTGTAAACTGACAAGGTCCTTGCAATCTGTGAGGTCAACCAAGGGTTGCCTCTCCTAAAAAAAATGAAAAGGCTCCATACTATATGATTCCAACTATAATTTATCCTGAAAAGGCAAAACTATGGAAAGATTAGTGATTGCCAGAAGTTGGTGTAGAGGAGATGGATAAATTAAGAGGCATACAGAAGATTTGGAGGGCAATGAAAATACTCTGTAGGATACCAAAATGATGGATACCCAGCATTACAAAGTTACCCAAACCCACAGAATGTACAACACCAAGAGTGATAATATAAAGTATAGAATCTGGTGGTCAATGCAGGTTCATCCATTGTAACAAATGTACCACTCTAGTGGGAGATGTTGATACTGGGAGAAACCATGCATGAATAGGGGCAAGGGGTATATAGGAAATCTCTGTACCTTCTCTCAATTTTGTTGTGAACCTGAAGTTCTGAAAAACTTAAGTCTTAAAAAGGTAGATTATAATTATATATAATCATCCTAAGAATAGACCACTAGTTCTCAAAGTGTAGTGTGCAAACCCCTGGGGAGTCCTTGAGGCCCTTTCAGGGTATTCACAAGGTTAAACTATTTTTATAATACCAAGATGCCTTTTTCATTTCTCACTATTTTTTTCCTTTTTTGTTGATACACTGATGGCACAAAGCAGTCATGAGTAAAACTGAAGGCACCTTGGCATGCATTAAGGCAGTACAAACCTTAATAGTGGTCATTGTATTTATTCTCCATTGCCGCTTGCTTACAGCAAGAAGGAAAAAAAGACAAACAGCAACAACAAAACTGTTTCGCTTAAAAAGTTCCTTAATGAATCCATAAAGAATTATTTTTATTAAATTTCAATATTCAAGTATACTTTCTTTTAATATTCTGTGTGATGAAATAGGAACAAACATAAAGCATTCCTGAGGCAGACAGAATTACAAAGAAGTATAAGGAAAAGCATTGGTCCTATTATTTAAGTTGGTAGTTGATCTAGTCTTTTTTTTTCAAGAAACACTATTATTTGAAAGAATAACTGACAAAAACTATGGATAAACTAAGTTATTCAGACTTAGGTATTTAGCAGACTTTTTTTTTTTTAATGAACTAAGTGTGCCCATCACTTTAAGGAAAACAAACCAACAGTATTTGTTTGGTAATGATAAAATTCAAGTTTTCAAGCAAAAATTAGAAATTTGGAAACTTTATATCTACCAAAGTGAGCTTGATAACTTTTCAATACTTTTATGAAGAGATATGACTTTTTATCTTGTATAACAATGTGTCAACTGCATAACTCAGTAAACCAATATTTTCTAAATAACCATGTTACAAAATTACACATGGGTTAAAGTCTTTCAAAGTGCAAGATACACCAGTGAACTTGAACATTACAAAAAGTTCATTGGTATGGTTTCAGATTCCACCTTGCGCTACCTCTCAGAAACTACCACTTGTTGAGTTTTAGTGTAATATTAAATTATCTAAAAACACTTAAAATACTCCTCCTTTTCCAATTACCCATCTGTAGGAGGCTAGAATTTCCTCATATACCTTAGCCAAAACTACATTTCACAACAGATTGAATTTAGAAATAGACATGAGAATACGGCTGTCTTTTTATTAAGCCAGACACCATCGAGATTTGCAAAAAAAGTATGAATGTCACTGTTCTTACTGAATAGTTTTTGTTCTGAAAAATAGTTACTTTTAACAAATGTTATTTTGTTAACATCATTTTTTAAATTAATAAACCATCTTTTAAATTTATCAACTTTAATTTCTGATATAGTAAACATACTTACAACCCACATAAAAGGTCTTTGAGATCCTCAATTTTTAAGAATGTAAAGGGGTCCTGAGACCAAAAAACAAGTTGACAACTATAGATACAAGAAATTATTAAACAAATGGATAAGACAGTCAAAAATATATATATAATAGGGCAAAACAAGTTTTAAAAGTGGAAGAAAGATAAATGACTTATTCCATTGTAGATTTAAGATTAAGATAACAAGATCTGAACTTATCGAGAGATAAAAAGGTTGCAGAAGTTAGTTTATTTTAATCAAGCTTTTAAAAGTATACAAGGAGATAACATAATTAAGAAGTACATCAATTTTACGAGACTATATGCTTTAAGAATCTTATTGCAGAATACCTAGAAAGAGGGATAAGAACAAGGCCATAATGCATTTTTAAAGGATATATATACTTCCTCTTAAATCATTTCATTAAAAATGATGTAGAATAGAATGGGAAAAAAAACTCTCATTTAAATGTAATTATTTCTATTATTCTAACTTCTAAAACAGAGAATAATAAAGTGCTGAATGAAAGCCAACTAGATCTATTAGTTGCAAGACTATTTTGTGATTTAAATCACTGAGAATATCACCATCTTGCGGCAAAATCAAGTATTGCAATTTTGAATGACGAACCTGAGAAACATTAACTGTGCTTTTAATAAGATGGTCAAGAATTTTACTCCTTACGCCTCCCCACCTGCCACTCTCCAAGCCACGCTAAGTAAAAAATTTTCAAGTTCTTTAATAAAGAAAAACATTCAAAAGAATGTTACTTAAATAAATAAAAGAGATGCCCTAATTAAAAAGTTAAAAAACGAAAACATAGCCAAAAACCCAACAACTGACAGAAAATGTTTCAATGTGTCAACATAGTAATTAAAACTTCCATGGTTAATTCTTATAGAGAAGAGTTATACTTTATAAGCATAGCATTAGATAAAAGTTGGTAATTCAATATTCATTGTTAATTTATTTATATGTTATAACTGCTGCCACGCTTAAATTCTCTCATTTTGTTAACAGATGAGGTGCTAGCCACCTTACTATTTTTCTCTTCACCTTGGCCCACGTGATTTTCATATGAATTTTCCCAAGTATGCAATGAACAATCTAGTTAGTACCGACAATCTAATCCAAAATCTACCCCTACCTCTTATAAACATTAATCTACTGAATTTCAGCTTAACTCAATAAAACCTATTTGTGTGTCTGCCTGTACGTCTGGGTGTAGTCGTATACATATACACACACATTAGAGTAGCATAAAGATTATAAGAATCAGAGGAGAAAAGAATAAAGTCTAGAAAGATAGGTTTATCTTTCATTAGCTAGTCTTTTCCAGTTTAAATTGATACACATAATACGGACAAATATTTCCCTTAAAAGCAGAGGTCTAGATTCAATTAGTCCAAGAATAAAGATAGAGCACATATGGTCATTTCTGGCCATCACTGTATATATGCAAAACAGTGAGGTAACCTGAATAATCTCCACATTCTTGTTAACTCTCCTTTTTGCTTACAATATAATAACAGATATGAAGTAAAGAGAGAAAGCAAGAGAAAGAGAGAGTGCACAAATATGCAAGCACCTGTCTTTCCCTCTGCTTCTTTAGCAAAGGCAGCTGGATTATTCCTTGCCTTGAGCCAATCAAGTCCTCTGAAATAACCAATGTATACTCCCAATAGCCCATATAACTTGTTCCTCTGAAGAAAGGCTTTGTCACCTTTGTGGATTTCAATATTTGAAAAAACTAGTTTGAATAACCTAATTTTTTTGTCAATAATTACATGGTGTGACTGTTTTCATTTAATGATTTTGAGGTCAGAGTACTCTCACCTTAAAAACATTACCCTAATTCAAAACTACCACCAAATAAGAATTTGTTCTGATTATCCAGATGGTACAAATTTACTAACTGTATCCAACCTGTTGAGGATTGCAATGTTTGGTGCAAGCTGTGTGGCAACTGAAGGGTGAACAGAGGTGAATGGACACTATTTCTGAAGAAGTCTTCTGTTGCTTTAGACTGCAAAACCTTTGTTTCCCAAAGCTGCAGACAAAAAAAAGAGTTTACTTTTTTAAAAAAGCTAAAGTAAAACATAATAATATTTCCTTTTTTGTTTTTACTTTCTAAATATTAAACTGTCAGCTGATAGCACAATGAATGGATAAGTACTAAAGTATAATTAAGGGGTTAGGACTATAATATATCAATTTTCTAAGCTGAAAAAAAAAAAAACAAGAGAGAAACTTGTATTGTCTACAAACCTGCTTCAAGTCTTTTAAAACTTGTTCCTCTATACCTTCTTCAGCAAATAGATCTCGCACTCCTTCAATTACATCTTCAATTACAGATCTGTAGAGTTTAGGCTACATAAAAGTAATTGTTAACGTTTTAAATTCTCAAGTTTGAATGTATTTAGCTTTAAAAGACATGCAGTATACACTTTCCAATCTTATTAAAAGAAAAAAAAAAAATCCACCAAAAGGATTTTTACTAAGTGCATCCTACTTCTAGTATGTATAGTCCTGACCCTAAATTTTTACCTATCTACAAGGCTGAATTACAGGACTATAATAAAATATAAGATAATAATCTCATCAAGATATATGGTTACTGTTGTTATTTGTCTTTTGTGTCAGTATTTAACTTCCTCAATCTTTTTAAAAAGGAAAATTAATTTAAGGCAGGTAGAAATGAACCTGTTTTCAATTTACCTTTTTCTCAAAGAGGCCAAATGACCTTTTTAGAGTTCACTATATTATTTCCATAAATGTAAATACATTCCAAGCCATAAGATTGGGGCAAGCACTTACAACAGAGTAACCAAAGCCTGTCCTTCCTCTGAAATACACATAGTCCAAAAATATATTCTGAGCCATTGTCAAGTAAAAATACAACTGCATCAAAATGGATTTCCTAACAGCAACTGAGGACATTAATGAATCTTACTCTTCCACAATCTGTATATTGCAGAGACTAAGCAACATCCTAAAATGTTTCCTCATAAAAACATGCCATCACAATAATATTATGCAGATTTCTACCCAGATTAAACATTGGTCCATATCAATAAAAAATAGCCCTGTGAAATAAACTCAGTCCTACAAATCCATGTAAATTGCATTCCACTCCACCCCACCACCCAGTCTAAAAATGGCAATGCTAAGTGTACTAACACTGACCTAGTGGAAGTTCCACTGATAAAAAAATGGCAAAACAGGAATTTAGTTGAGTTGCTCCAATTTCAAATTGCTTAATCAGACCAAAATGAAAATTGTGCAATTCTAGGAATGCTTTTTCATACTAACCAGTAAATACTCTAAATACTCCTGCTCATGCCAAGAATAGCTAGGTTTTAAACTAATCTTTCTAAAGATCCAGGGTAAGTCTATGAATAGGCCAATTAGTTACATTTAAATAATACATTCTTCCCAAACATATCTATTAAGATTAAGTGCCTCAGATTAGTTGCTTCTTCTAAAACAGTTTACCCTGATAAAGGCATGCTAAATTGATGCTTCTGTGTTAGTCCCAGCAGCTAAAGAGAAAAACTCCTAGGGCGAAAAACATCTTTAAGATCTGGCCTCAGAGTACAACAGCAGTCATCAAAAATAACCCATTAGAACAGTTTTTCAAAAGCAAAGTAGGCATTAAACATACTTTCTCTTCTAGGACTACATACAGTTAGACTTTATATTCTTTCCCTGTTATCTTTATAAAAACTATGTGTAGTCCAGAAAACCACTTTAACCTTTTCACTATTTAAGAGGAAACACATACACACACATGTACACTCTCCTTGGAGTTCACCATCATATAAAATGGTAAGCTTATATTCAGGCATAAGTATTTGACATATATTTAAACACGTTAACATCAGAAAATGAATACACGTTAAAATAATATCTCTAAAAATGGACCCTTTTATGCTGTGTGTATGTGTGTGTGTGTGTGCGTGTGTGTGTGTATATATCTATAGATATATATATATACTTGGAACCCACAAAATAATACAGATCTGGACAAGCACATTGCCTTTCACCAATGTGAACCCTTTTGAGATGGAACTGAAAGTGTATCCTTGATTTTTCTTTAATTCAGGTTTTTAAGATTGATAGGAGGGTCTCACGAGTGCCATTTTGCTTATCTTTCTCATTATGAGGCTTAGGAATCCCTTATGGATAGAAGAGTATTATTTGTGTGTTTTATTCCAACTGTACACTTAAGCATTAAGATGCTAAAGGATGGGAAAACGGCGGTGGCGGAGGTGGGAGTGGGTAAGGTAAAACTCTAAAACTATGTGGTGGGGTAACATGAAATATCACATCACCTGTTATCTCATGTGAATAATACATCTTAGAATCAACAATAACCATACTAAAATTCAGAATTACAACTAGAGTACGACTGAATTCGGTAATTTTCTAAGCACATAGGAAACGCGGAGGATTAAGGTGAGTTCCATACCTAACCACCTTCTAAACGTATTCTAGACAACCTGTTTGGGTGAGGAGTGAGAAGAGGAGGGAGACTTGTTCTTCCCGTGGGAGCCGGGCCCAACCTCCACCTGAGCTACTGACCCTCATTAGCTTCCTCAAACCCATAAAACAGCCAGAGCCCCTGAGGGAGAGGGTTTCTCAAAGTCTGTGAAGGGCCAAGAAGAAAAAGGGTGTGCAGAACTCGGCTGTCCTGAACCCCGGACCAGAGCTCCCTATACACTGAGCCCAAGCCGAGAGGCCAGGCTGGTCTTCCTTACCACGGAGTTGACATAGGCCATGACGGTGCCCGCAGCTCCTTGCGCCTGCGCACCACGCAGTACGCCGCTGAGGGCCACTCTCCGCGCGCTTTGAACGTCAGTGCACGTTGCTTGCGCAACAACGTAAAGACGCGGGAGGGGGCGGGGCAGGGGAGAGAAAGGTTAATGATTTGAACAAAGTTAAGTGGAGACAGCGATGCCAGAACGGGAAGAGGTTGTTAGCTTCAGCAAAGAGGCTAAAACGGGATGGTTAAATCCGGTCTAACGAGCTCACATGGTTAGGGACTATTCACATGACCCCTGAAGAACCTTTATTTTCTCAATCTATGAAATAATCTATGAAATCTATGAAATAAAGACTAAGAAACTAGGGGAGGGGTGATGCCGTGATAGATGCCACGTCACTTTCAGCTTTGGAGGGAGTTGGGCCAGGAAAGAAGGGAGACTGGTGATAATCTGTTCTCTCCTGCCGATTTTCATTCCTCCCAGTCCACCCCACTCACAGCTGAACTCCAGTAAAAATAAAATGAGAGCCAAATGTGGAACAGCAACATCAGCATCAACTGGGAACCTGTTAAAATGCAAATTATTGGGTACAACTCCAGACCTACTGAATCAAACTCTGGGGACAGGGCCCAGCCTTCTGTAACTTTAACATACTCTCCGGGTGATTCCGATGGGAAATTGAATGAGGCTATCCCAAAACAAAGATTCTCAGCTTTGGATGCACATTGAAATCACCTATAGAACTTAATAAAGGTTTGGCACCTGAGTTGCACCCCAGATAATCCGATGGTATCCTGAAGCCAAAGTGGAGAACCACATAAAGTCAGCACCCTAGTACCACCCAGGCTTTTTTCTTCCTCAGACAGAAATCACCATCTCTTGACCTACAATAATTCCCTTCCTCCCCTGAAGGGTAGAGCATCTATGGGCATATCTTGCCTAGGGCTGAAGATAGATGTAAGCACAGATAAACTTCAGGGTCAAAAAAGGGAAGTAGTCTTCTATTGCCACTACCCAGCCTTTCTAGCCTGCAGATAGGTCCTGGCCTACCCAGATGGCTAAATTATTTAATGATTAAAAATCTTATTAGGTTTAAAATTGGCTGTTTATTTATTCATTTGTGCATATATGTTCAATAGAGCTAGTTATCTGTATTTGCCTCAGTCAGGTACCTTATGATTTGTGGATTTCAAGCAGCTGATTTATATGAAGCCCTTTAGAAGACTTTCCTAAATTGAAAACTATCTGAAATTTCTTTTACAAAAAGTCAAGAATTTTGCATAGAAATTTTTAATGATTGTATCTCTACCTGGCAATTTACTACTAGAAGTATTCAAAGTGACTAATCTTTCACCCAAAATAGAAAAGCTAAAAGCAGTCATTGATTCCTACTGATATTATAAAATCCAATTAAATTATTCAAGCTGGGAAATAAGAAAGCTGAAAGGACTCTTGTTTTCCAGCTTTTTTCTTAAACAAGATTTAAAACTTTATTCCTAAAGGCATAGGATTGGTAATCACCTTTTTGTGATTACATACTGTTCTATATTACTTCATTATATATTTTATCCTTCTAGGGCTATAATATAGACCATACATACTTTTGAAATTTAGACTTTGGTACCCAAAAAAGTATGACTAAGAGTTGAACTGATATTGCTTAGTATACTTAGTAGATTCAGGTTACAAAGAGGTTATGTTACTTTGGCACAGCAATGTCAGCAACTTTCCATTTGTCTCTTGTGGTCTATCTAGATGGTAACTAGTAGACTCAGATGTAATGTCTTCTCAATAATAGACAATGAATGGTTTTTAGAAGAGATATACTTTCTCCCACATTCTAGGTGAATTCAAGTTGCAAACCTGCTCTGGACCTGTGATAGACAGCTGCTTGGATGGCCCCCCAACGATCCTCATCTCTTGGCACTTACAAACTTGTGTTGTGCTCTCCTACATTGTACCATGGTTTTTCTCGGTGACCGATATAAAGCAGAAGTGATGGTGTATCACTTATGTAAATAGATTGTGAATGACTGCGGCTTCTTTCTCTGGAATTCCTTCTGATCACATGCTTTGGGAAAAGACAGCTGTCATGTTATGAGGACACTTAGGCGCTCAGGTAGACTATGGAGAGGCCCATGTGGCAAGGAACTGAGACTCCAGACCATGGTTAGCAAGGATCAGAAGCCTGTAGGCAATCATATTAGTAACCTTGGAAATTGATCCTTCCTCATTTGAGTTATCAGATTATTTCAGCCCTGACTGATAGGTTGACTGCCTCTTTTTGAGAGAACTTGAAGCAGAACCACCCTCAAGGGATATTCCAAATTTTCAATCCTCAGACACTGTATGAGACAGTAAATATTTGTCATTTTAAGTGGATAAGTTTGGGGGTAATTTGATATATACCATGAGATAACTAACGCAGGGTCCATTCTGTGATTGGACTGTGACTAGTGAAGGCTTGATGTTCCCTCACTGTGATCTCAACATTTAAATTTTCTTGAATACCTCCACAATCACAAGAGCTTTTGAAAAGTATGTAAAGGAATCTGTATGGACTATAGACTATTATTTAATAGCATTGACTCCAGATTATCATCAAACAAGCTGATTGTTATAGGCATGTAATGGTCACATTTCTTTTGTTAATTTTTCAAACTCAGAAAGTGTGTTGCATGCACAAAACACTTTGATGCTAAGACTGAAAATTTAAGATCCCAAAGCTTCCATGAAGCAGTTTTACAGTGACTATTTTTTGTTAGTAAATAGAAGAGGAATGCTGAGCTTAGGTCTTTGAGTAAACAGTTCTTTGAAATTACACCTAAGGAAAAGCATAAAGCTCTTCCCATCACAGTGCAGAGTATCAGATTTTCATTTCCTCCTGCTTTGTTTAGAGGCTACAATATATATTTAATATATCATTTATAATCAATACCAGTTTTGTAACATTTAAGCAAATCTTAATAATCAGATTAATTTCTTTGCATTCTGTATGTTCTCATTACTTTTGCCTGGAGGTTTCAGTGATACTACTCCAAAAGTAAAGAAACAATTTCACTTTGCTTATTGTGAGAAAAGGCCATATATACATGAAGTCCTTTCTTTGAATAAGAATGTCTTTTTTAAAAAAATGTATTTTAGAGACAGCCCATTATCTTTTACATGTTAAATTTTACAATCAAACACAGGGCACTTCAGTAACTGTATAGACTCTAAATAACATATTTATCAGTAATAAAAAATACAAGTTAGTCTATGAGCATATGGCTTACGGCAGAAAATATTCATAATTAGTTTCTGAACATTTAGCAACCAATACACTAAACTCAGCAGTATTGTTTCTCTGCTTGTTTCATCCTTCACATCTTCCAGGAAATGAAAATCCAGATAATCTCTGCCTCACCTTGTAACTTTGAAATGGTTACAATGTTGATAGTTCTGTTTACTTATAGTCTGCACTTTTGTAACATTTTCCATTTTCTAATACAACTCTAAAATCAACTTACGTTATTTGAACATCAGATATTGTTCCACCATGATGACTCCCTTCCCCCAACCCTAACAGGATTTCAGTTAAAATGACCTTGTGATACAACGCTATGGCCAACTGGTGACTGTATCACAAAGTGGAACATTATTAATGATCACATTACTGCCTATTTCAAAATATTTTAATATTAGAGAGATGCATACATTGTGTACATATAAAAATTAGTGATTATAATTAACTCACAGAAACTATGGAGGATGACTTCAAACACAATTTTCCCCATGGCTACTTTTTCAACATTTTCATCAGAGTCTTGATAAAGATTCAATAATTTCCTAGCTAACATATTATTCCTTTTTTCATTTCTTTAATCGCAATGTGTATAATCATACATGAACATGGAATATTAGCAAGGATAATGTCCATTGTCTCCAGTTAATTTTCCAACCTGAATTTCTACTTAGAGAAAGAAGATAGAGGTAGAGACCAATAAATTGAACTTAAGACTAGGACCTTGAGAGAACCAACCAGCTTTGTTCTTACAGTAACCGTACTTTTTTCCTAATTTTCTCATTTTATGAGGTAAATGGCAGCATCTTGAATATTCTATATCTTAGGTTATCTTAGGTGCCTCAAATATCAGAAGAGGCAGGAATAATATGGAGTAGACACTTCCCCCTATTTCTTCCACTAAGTATAGCTAAAAACCCTAGATATTATATATAAAACAAATATAAGATGACTTTGAAAGGTGGAGAGATGAGCACAGACAAATTAGGGACCTCGCAACCCAAAGAATGCTATAGCAGTTAATTCCTTGGTTTTCTTTTTGCTTCGCATATACTGGACTGGGTACTGTATACTGTATACTGTATACTGAAGCTGACAACCTAGAAACATCAATGGTCACAGACAAGAAAAAGAACAAAAGCCTTTCTCTCTAGCCACAGGACTAGGAAAGGGGAAGCAAAGGCAGAAAACTTTAGACAATAATTGCTCTACTCCAGTCAAACACCACAGAAAGAACTGCCCCACCACCACTACCTCTGTCAGCAAAGGCAGGGTAGGGAGTTTAGACTTCTACTCTTCTCCAGCTGCAGTGGGGTATAGTCATCCCCATGATGTCACTGGGATGCAATGCCTGGACTTGTACTCCACCCAGCTATAATCAGGCATCCACACCACCTGCTGGGGTGGTGTTAGAGAAGGCCAAGATTTTCATTTTTGCCAGGTATAGTGAGACCACCCCCTTGCAGTGTCAGTGGAGGCCATATGATAAGTAACAAGGTACTCTTCCTGGTCTCAGCCAAGATGATGTCAGTGTCACTGGTGAGGGGCCTGAGCTCTCACCCTACCCAACAGTAATGAGGATCTCCTCCCTCCCCTAGGGCATCTACAGAGGCTGAGCAGGGGAATCTGGCCCTTGGCAATAGCAAGATGGTCCACTCACTATCGCCCACTGGCCTGGTGTCAGAAGACACCTGTTAAAACAGAAGATTTAAATAATATCCAGAGTCTCTCA